AGTCCTTGATCCTCTGGAGCAAGCATTTCAGGTCCTCCTCAGTTTCAACAAACATGAACTATTAATGTTGTTGTTTTTAAGTGCCATCGAGTTGCAGGGGACTCATACAGACCCGATGAAGAAGAGTCCTCAACGCTTGGATGTCTTTCATCCTCTCTCCAGGTTCATTGGGTTTCTGGAGGCAAGCTATTACGGAAGTGGATGCCACTCCTCCTTCCAAGCTTGTTTTAATTGGGGAGCTTCACCCCACTCTCTTTCCGCATTGGGTAGCCAACCATTAACGCATTTGACACATCAGTGTCACAGTGTTCAGCCTCACAGCAACCACAAGTGACCACTGTACAGCAACTATTAATAGCATATATAAAAGCAAGAATCCAGAGAACCCCTCTGATATACACTTTGTTTACATAATTTATCCTGCTAAGATTAATAGCAGACTATTTATGAGAACTCTCAGGTCAATATAGTCCTACATGCTTAACCATAACTTTTAACATGAACAGTTCCATTTGTGGCTCAATTCCCTAATTCCTATAGGGCTCTTGGGTTCAGATTCACTAGAAGGACTCACAGACTCAGAACTCTCAGGAAAATGACTGACATGACCATACTTTTGAAGGCTGATTTTGGAGAAACTGGTAAACTGTCACTTGTCACACAGCTAGATATGATTGTGAATGATGAAGGCTGGTGGTGTAGACTGGTGAGCAGCTGGAAGCTATATCCCAGGAGAGTGAGCTTTTCCAAAAGGAAAAAAGTGGACTTGCACTGAGTTCTCATGATCTTATATAAGCCTCTAGTAAATGTGGCTTGTATATCATCTTAATCCTCTATCCTTAATATAATAATATAATAATTACTTCAGCACAAAATAAACAGTCTTTGGCTAGAAAAGACATTTGAATGATAAACCTTAGGAACCCAGAAGTCTTCTTTTTTAATTAGGTCTATGACTTATGTATATGAATTTATTAATTGATTACTAAGCCAACATAGTCCTCAAAGTGATATTTTATATTTACTTGTTATTGAAAATATTACACTCAAAATATATGATTGTGTATGATATGGTATTTAAAGGGAGCCTAGATTATGTGGTCTATAAAGTGTTTGCTGACAGCCCATACGTCAAGACTGTATACTGGTTGAATTCACTAGACATGGGACAAAGATAAATTCACCTTTTTCCATGGGAAAGAGGTGAACAATTTATAGCTCTTATTCCTATCTCCAAGAAAAGATTAAACAGAATATGAAAATTATCAAACAACATCATTAATATCACATGCAAGCACAATTTGAAAATAATTCCACAACTACTGGAACAGTTAAGTTGACAGGGAACTTCTAGAAATTCAAGTTAGGTTTAGAAGAGGCAATGATGCCAGGAATATCATATGACAGATGAATCCTGGCTGTAAGCAGAGAATAATGGAACAATGTCTATCTCTGTTTTATTAACTATGCAAAGGCCTTGTAGATTACAACAAACTATGGGTGACATTAAGAATATTGGGAATCTCAGTACATTTTATTGTGCTATATGAAATCTATACCTAAACTAAAAAGCTGTTGTCTGAACAGAACAAGGGAAAATTGTATGGTTTAAAGTCGGGAAGGACATGGTTCAAGAGGGTATCCTTACCAATTTGTATTCTGAGCAAATAATCCATGTAGCCAGTTTATATGAAGAAAAATGTAACATTGGTTTTAGAGAAATACTCAACAACTTGCACTATGTAGATGGTACTATATTGTTTACTGAAATTGGGGAGGACTTGAAGTGCCTGTTGTAGATGATCAAAGACTATGGCCTTCAGTATAGACTGTATCTTACTATCAAGAAGACAAAGGTCTTTACATCAGGGCCAGTGGGCAAAACCATGATAGATGGAGAAAGGATTGAACTTGTTAATGATTTTGTCTTGCTTGCATCCACAATCAACACCCTTGGTACCAGTGGTCAGGAGTCATGGAGATGTCTTACTGTGGGCAAATCTGCCATTTGGAACCTCTCTAAAATATGAAGAGCAATAATGTCAGTTTGAAGACAGTTGTACTTGAGTCAGGCCATGGTCTATTCAGCTACTTGCTAGACATCTGAGAGCTAGATAATGAATAAGGATGACAGAAGATGAATTGATGCCTTTGAGTTGTGTTATTAGAGTACTGAATATCCCATGTACTGAAAAACAAAACAAAAACAAACAAACAAAACAAAACAAAACAAAAAACAACCCCAGACAGCTATGTCTTAGAAGAGATGAAGCCAGATGCTCACTGGAGTCAAGGGTAACAAAGTTTCATACTTTATATGTATTACTAGGGGAGACTATTATTTGGAGAAGGATATTGTTCTTGGAAGGGTGGAGGGTCAGTGAAAGAGAGGAAGAGTGCAATTGAGATGGATTCACACAGTGACTATAGTAATGAGCTGAAGTGTATCAGAGATGTGGAAGATGGCACATTATAGGACAAGATTCAGATCTGTTGTTCATAGAGATGCTATGAATTGTACTCAACTTCATGGTACCTAACAAAAACAACAAAACTCTGGTGAACTAGTGGTAAGAAGCTGTGCTGCAATTCCAAAAGCAACTGGTTCTAATCTACCAGCTGCTTCTCAGGAGAAGGATTAGAAATCTTCTCTCATGTGATTTACTGCCTCAGAAAACCCACTAGATCATTCGCTATTGGTCAATTATGACTTGATGGCAATGAGTGAACAAATGAGTTAGTAAATATGCTTGGATCTTTATATATTTTTAATGATTGGTAATTTTAATGATTTTAAAAAAGTTTTCCTTGTTTATTTACATCCATCTACACAGTGCGTAGAATAATATATTTATGATGTCCAGTTATATCTTTTACATGAAATTAATGTTCTTGGAGACACATCACATGCTTTTGTTGATTTTATGTTTTGTGTGTATATGCAATGAGTTAGCTCATTTAGAAAGAAATGCCTGGTATTGTGTGATTAAACAGAATGTTCATAGATAATCATCCATGCTGAGCATTCATTCAATGACAAATGATTTTGCAAATAATG